ATATATATATATATATATATATATATATATATATATATATATATATATATATATATATATATATATATATATATATATATATATATATGGGCTAGTTCCCGTGAGAATGCACCTTGTGGAGAGAAATGAGAATAAAATCTAGCCGTCGGATCTGATGCATCGTGCGGCTCAGATTGCATCATGCGCTCAGATTTTGAGATGGTGCATTTTCGAAGGTTTATGGTGCATTTCGACGTGATGCATTTTCGCACCATTTTGGTGCATCTAATTTTGATGAAATCTTGACCCTTAGATCTCACAATCTAAAGCACCAGAAAATTAAGTGGTGTAGTATAATTAAGTTCACCCCATAGTGGCTTATACGCGACAAACACTTTGCATGTATTAGACTCTCCATTAAGTTATCTCATGACGCAGACAATTAGGAGACAAACAATAAAGGGATGGTCAAAATGAAATAAAGTTTCACAAGACCGGGAAAAAGACAAAGACCCAGAAAAGAAAAGGAGTGAGAAGAAGAAAATGCACAACTGAAAAAATGGAACCTAAAATTGTTCAATGAGGAGATTTAGAAGAAAAAAAATAACATCAGTGCTTCAATTCATAATATGACTCAATTAAAATTGGGGTTTTGGATAAACTTTAAGGTGTAAATTTATTCAAAAATATTTGAAATTAAAAGTTAAAACTATACATAAAACTCAAACTCATATCCCAAGATGAACGAAAGAGCAGGAAATAGCACTAAAACTTAAGTCATTTTTCTAAATAGCATTTAATAATATCCTAAATAGCACTTAAACCGTTTTATATTCTAAATAGCACTTAATATTTATTGTGTGTCATTAGAATGAAAAGTTATGAAGATATACTGTGTTTTAAATTTTGGCTAAAATCCATTATTGGTCCTTCAACTTTATCAGTTATGCACGATTGGTCCTTCATGTTTCAAAAGCCCATAAATAATCCTTCAACTTTATGAGTTCTGCACCATTGGTTCTTCAAGTTTCAAAAGTTCATAAGTAGTCCTTCAGGTACACGTCAGCCCTCCATATGAAGTCCTTTTGATAGTAAATATTAAAAGTTAAATGAAATACTAGTTTTATATAATACGAGTAAATTCCACTAAGTACGACTACTTCGTATTATATGGAGCTAGGATTCCATTTAGCTTTTAACATTTACTGTCAAAAGGACCTCATCTGGAGGACTGACGTGTACTTGAATGACTATTTATGCACTTTTAAAACTTGAAAGACCAATCGTGCATAACTCATAAAGTTGAAGGACTATTTATGGACTTTTAAAACTTGAAGGACCAATCATGCACAATTGATAAAGTTGAAGGACCAATGGTGGAGTTTAGCCTTAAATTTTTAATTGAGTCAATATAGTCCTAAAAAATATACAGTAATTACCAAATGAACGATTTACTACGTATAAAGAAGATTAGATATACTCCGTAATACGGAGTATGACAATTAAAGTTGAAGTCATAATTATTCAATAAAATACAAGGCTAACTTTTTTTCCCCATTTGAATATTCTTTAAGTGATAAAATTGTCCATAAAAGTAGTTAAAGGGTTTTTGAATTACTCTTTTTTAACGACCATGTAACGTAACAACGTCCACTCTCCACTATATGATCGAGGGTCACAAAGTCATTAGTTTTCTACTCGATATTCACACTATTTGAATTAAAATCATGTTCTATTTTCTTTTTTTGATTAGAGTAAAGAATATATCTAGTTTCTATTTCTTCATTAAAATATAAAAAAACTTATGGGTTAAATTATTTCTCTCACGTATATAAATATAAATTTTAATTATACAACTTTAACTACATTAAAAATTGTACACAATTTGACCGGAGTGTATCATAAATTCGAGCAATTATATATATATATATATATATATATATATATATATATATATATATATATATATATATATATATATATATATA